TTCTTCATCAACTTATTCGAGAAATAAAATCAAAACCAAGGAGTAAAGCAAAAAAATGATTATTTTTACTTTTGAGAGAATAGGAGAATATCTTTATTATAGAAACTAATAGTTCAAGATTATAGTGTTGATATCAAAATACCGTTGTCGTTATAAAAATTAGTGATAATATAAAAGTTCTAGCCTATGCCATCAAAATGCCAGTGGCGTTATAATTTAGGGAGATACGAAGCTTATAGTCTATAGCATCATAATACCACTGGCGTTAAAGTTTAGTGAGTTACAAAATCTCTAGCATATAGTACAGATCAAAATGCCAGCGATTTTGTAATCACTTTTGTTTTCCATGATCTCGACATCATATTATTACACGGGTCTGTTGTTATCAGAATTGTTATTGGTACAAATAATACCTCTACAAACAGAATAATATTGAAATCTAACAAATAATTTATGATTTCGTTCTAATATAAACAAAGCAAATGAATTTGTTAATGAAGTTCCACAGTAAAGTAACAAAACTCCAGAGAAATGTGCGAACATTAAAGTCACGTACAGCTTTGGATCAGTTGGCTAATAAACGCTGACTCTGACCTTCCAATTTGGCAGGGTACACATTCAACTCTAGGTACTTGCAAGAGAATTGTTTACAAATAATTAAATATAAGAAATATTTTCAAGACCACCGATGATGCATATTTGGCAATACTTGAAACAGTTGTGTGGTTAGCCAAGAATGCATATAATTGAAATAATATAAAAATGAATTTTTGTCGTTGTAGTTCACTACTATTCAAAAAATCTCATTATAAAAAAATATTTTCATACAAGCCAATTAGCAAATATAATGCTATCTCCATAAAAGAGTTGTGGATTAAAATCTATGATGAGATTCTTCTAAAGTATATAAATCGTAGATTTTTGTGAAAGATGGTCATTTTTACTTTATTTACTAATAAGTATAAATGCTACTAGCAATCGATTATCATGAAAATATTGTGTGTAATTTATAGTAATTTCCCATAATCAAGTAAATAACATATAACTCTAAAGTAGGTTAATATCCCTATTTTTTCCGCTGAACATGTCAACCAAAAGTTAAAGATGTGACAAATAAATGCTTCACTAAATGTAAGTCAAAAAACTTTGCTTTTAGGGTACCAATATTTTGTTAATATATATTTCATATTTGTTTTTAAATGAAACGCTAAATCCCTTAAGATATACTGATAAAGCAAGCATTTCAGTTCCCTTGAAAAAAAAAAAAACTGCTTTGTCATTTATGGTTTCGAAAGAAATCTCACTCTGTGGTTTCTCATACATATTTTTTCTTTTTTCCCGTGTATTTCAATAAACAGCATCACCAAAGTAAAGTTTGTTTGGCTAAAATTGATTAAATTAAATACATTTTACATAAATGTATGTACATATCAACTGTAGTCTTTTAAGTTTCATGACAATTTTACACTATAACAAAAATATAGCAACAATTTCAATATGAAAAATAAAAATCATCGAATCAGGTTTTTTTTTTCAAAAATGTAATTATCTTCCGAAGTTATAATTGCAATTTTAGGAGCGAAAAAAAATTTATTGGAGCCATATCAGTTGAATATAAACCTATGTTACTCATACTGAATTTTTGCCATAACGATACTTTTGTGTGACGGTTTATTATTGTGGTGCAAAATCAATAATCGGCTATTGCATTAACAAATCCGGTCATTCATGTCATGTTCTACCAACTTTAGATACTACCAATCTGTTAAATATATATCAACTTTTACATATATCTCGCCACATATATACTCAATAATATTCCTTATTCACTAATTATCACTCCCCATTGATATAACTTTGATTTTCGAACTACTTCTACTACTTCTCGGGTATTCTAATATAGTAGGAACTTAGCGTGCAGTTGAGCTTGTTACACTGAGCGCCTCTTCTACGGATATCCCTATTTCAATCTCTGCCTCTGCCAACTACAGTCGGAGATTGATCTATCACATTTTTTTGCGATAGGCTAAAAGTGAGTGATTCCATACTAACACAGTAGCCAGGCCATATGGTATATGGCCAATCTATTCCAAAAGCAGAATCTCTGACTTGATACACAAAAGCAAATCAGAGATATTTAGGTTAATATCTGTTTTTACAGAGCACTGGTTCATAGGGCGGCATATAGCTAGACTTGATCTAACTTGTGTTATCTTCTGCAACGCATGTCTACCAATTCTCGAAGATAGAATATCAGAACACCTGATTTGTCTATGTACAGCCCTAGACAAAACTAGGCTTATGTTTTTGGAGTGTGTTAAAGAAGAGGGTTTTAACATACTCAGCAATATCTCCAGTTGTAGCATTGGCCAGACTCTTGCTTTTATAAATGTGAAGTGTGGTAAAAAAATAACACGTCGCTCGTTTAAGGTCGCTAATACATATATTGCGTCTGTAGAATAATATGTTGCCAAAGCGATAAGAGATCTATTGTGAACTTTCATTGGAAGTTTCAACGAATATTCCAGTTAGCTGTCAACAGTAAATAAAAATATAAACGAAATGAAAAAATTTTACAAATTTAAAAATTGTTTAAATGAAATATATCAAAAATATGCAAAATAAAAAATAAATATTTTAAAAATAGCTGTAATTTTTTCTTTCAGTATAGAAAAAAAATAGAACACATAAGACTGCAACAACTATAGATTATCTAAACCACATTATAATGGTTAATTATGATTATTATGGTATTTGATTATCCAATTATAACTATTGGAATATTCTACGAAAGAAAACAGTGCTGCCAATTTGTTTTAAGCAGACTTAATGCTGTTTTTTTTGCAACTCTGAAAGAAAAAATTACAACTATTTAACTAGTCTAACATCTAACATCTAAGTAAGTAAGTATATACGCACCTGCAGCGAGGCTTGTACAAAGCAGATGTACCGCACGGCGAAGGGTACCGCAATATTTGAAAATATTTGGCGTTATGGGGTCAGTGTACGCTTAAGCCGCCAAAAGACAATCAATACTTGTCGCACATAAACAATTTCCTTGAGCCTTTTCTTTCGTTGCCATAATTTTCCATGCTAACCGGCATTTTTTTAATATTTTTTTTTCTTCAGTCACTAAGCTCGTTGCTATTTACAAAAATCTTATTTTATTACAAAAAATTCAACAACAGGAAGTGCTTTGAGGCACACGAAACCGATCGGAAATGGTTTAAATTGAATTTTTCTTCAGCTTTTTTTCTTGCTGCTATCCTTCTTCTTAGTGCTTCGATATGGACACCCGAAACCCCACTGCCGTACGCGTATTTTTGTGTCAACAGAATTGCTATTATATCGTTTTGCCCTTTGTGTTGATGTTAATGCACAGTAAATAGGTTGGTTAATAATGCGCGTATATCCAATAGACTCGTTTAGGATTTGGCACAAAATTGCTTCAATAAATTAATTTAAAGATTATTTGTTGAAAAAGTGAGAAGTTGGGGAATTTTATGCCATATCTTCGCAATGGCTTCATAACTTATTTGAATTTTTCGATGGTAACTAGTTCAGGTATGGTAACTAGTTCATACATTTTATTATTGAATATAGCAAATTGTATATAGAACATTCCAAAATCAAAAGCACTTTATGAAAATAGATATTGATAACGATATTATAAATTGAAACAATGGAACTATTATTACTATTACTGATTGTTATATAGTAATATTTTCACAAAAATTTTTTTTTAAAAAGGTTGTTCAGCTATTAGTCTATGGATCGTCCATCGGTATTGATTTAAGTTGAGTACATAAATCATTTTTTTGAATACTAAGTTTTTAGAGTTATTTGTAAGTACTTGTAAGCTTGCATTTAAAGTTAGTAAACTACTTCACGACCATGGAGCAGAGTCCAAACTGCAATTATTATGTCAAGCCCTTGCAGTCATGGTATATGTTCCCATAAAAAAGTAATAATTAATCAAGACATTAAATAACTTAACACTACACTATAACTGATTAAAATTTTAAAAGTCTTAAATGCAATCAAACTAGTCAAAAAGAAAATATCTCCAGAACGAGGTAATATGCACACGGAATTCCTAAAATTACATCTTAATACAGCTTTCCAGCAAGCATCCGGCTTCCCATACTACAACAAATATGGAGAACAGAGGAGCTAGCAAGTGGCTGGAAAGAAGAAATTCTAGTTAAGATTCAAAAAAAAAAAAAAAATAAAACACATAAGACTGCAACAACTATAAGTTATCTAAACCACATCATAATGGTTAATTATGATTATTATATGATTATCCAATAGCTATAATCCAATAGTTATAATTTGATTATTCTAAACCGCATCTCTCAGGCTGTTGAAGCTACTCTAAGGGAAACCAATTTGCTTTTCGAGAGAACCTAACCTGTGGACCTAATACATACAGTTCGAGTCATTTTTGAACATAGCTATGAATTCCGCTGGTCAATTTATGCACTATTTCTCGACCTTAAGAAAGTCTTCGACAGTCTGAAACGTCCGTTTGTATGGAATATCCTACAAAAAAAGGCAGATTTTATTGCATACTTATTTCAGATGCAAATATACATACATACATAAATTACTTATAAACTTTATTTAGACATAAGTTCTTGCGTGATGAGGCATACATTCCATAGACAATTGTCAAGTATGAGGACAAAATGCACCTTACCACTCCCAAAAAGTACTATAGCAGTAGATCTCTCCAGGTAACAACAACAGCAACATATTCCCATTAGGACTGGAACCCTGTGATCACCTGATCTGTTATTCCAAAATAGTAGTAGTAGATTATTTTTTACAAAACATTTATATTTCTGTCAAATTATTATGTGTGTCAAATTATATATACGAGCAACAAAGCAATCAAATTTGGACAAATTTTAAAAAGTCAATTTGAGTTTTAAGTTTTAAAAATTTATTTTCTCAACAGTTTTTCTTTTGGTTTCTTAACGACCAAATTTATTTGTTGCGAATTTATTTCTAATAAATGAAATACTAATAATCAATAGACATTTTGATTTTAGACTAGACTTATTTTGGATATTAATTGTTAAATTTATGAAAATGTTGTGTAGATATTGTGCGCAAAATCCTTCTCCGGTTGGAGGCCACATGTCTATGAAAGGTTATCTCGTTTCAACACAAAACTTATGTGAAGGTTGTGGGCAATTAATTCCATGTTTTATGCCTGTTGATAAACAAAACTCTATGGCGGACAATAAACATGAGGCGCAAAAAGATGCTGAGTCGATAGAGTGCTCCGAGTCAACATCAGGTTCTAGTATAAGTACTCCAGAATTAATGCAAGCCTTACAAATGAATAAAGATCTTCAGCCATTTAAAACTAATCAGCAATTGACTGTTGATGACGCTCGGACACAGTTTATAGACACTGCCCAACAACGAGGTACGTTTTGATATATGTTAAGTAAGTTGAGTTCTTTAAATTAATCAATTTGTTTCATGTTTAGAGCACCCACCAGAAACAACAAGAAAAATATCTCATATTCATGGATTCAATTCAAAATTATTTGCCGATATTGATACTACCGGATTTCCTCGTACCATATTCACTTCAGCCACACAAGAGAATGAACCAAAGGATCTCAACAGCCCATCAAAACAATTGGAATTGAATTTAAATCAAGCAACTTTGTGTAATCCTCATGCCACACTTATAAAACCAGGACTAGTTAAGAAACTTCGTGATAAAATAGAATATGGAATTATTCACGACGGACCGAGAAAATATAGTGAAGTCAACACCTTAAATTTAGACGAAAATCGCGCAATTTGCTTAACGAAGTCAATCCAAACACAGGTTTATGAAAATGAGGAAGCTGTTTCTCTTACTTTAAATGGTTTGGGTAGAAACGCATTTACTAGATCCCAAAGACCCACTACTTTATTGCATGGTGACCAGAATGTCCATAAAGTAATGAGAAGTACAAATACTACAACAAACGTTCATATGAATAAGAATGCCAAGAATATTAATGCAGTGAAGTGTGAGAAAAAAATGCCGGCGTCATTGTATGAGGAGTTGAGCGCCGCTGTTAAATTACATGGGAGCAGACAGATTGACAAAAACCGACAAACCGAAAACGTCTTTGTGTCATCTAACTTAGCGTCAAACTCAAGTAAATTAATTTTATTTATAATGAATATAACATTTTAAGCATACACAATTCCATTTAGAAAACGCGCAGAAGGATTTGTCAGTAGGCAAGAACTCAACAATTGGTAATTCTGTACAATATAATCAGTATTAAATTTATTACCGTAATCCATACGAATTAATTTAGACAATATTACATCTATTATTCCAGATGTGAAGGATTCGCCAGCCGGTAGCACAGCACTATTAAAACTGAAAGACCAGAAAGTACCTACTGCTGACCGCTTTTCAAAGAACTCGTGTTATGAAAAAGGACAAAACACAAATCTATCGGCACTTCAAAAGGTGTCGGAATATAATCAAGCGAACCCCAACTGAAGAGTTTTATACGATGTGAATTGTCTATATCGCACATATTCTTAATGCTTTTATGATATATTAAGTACCGTAACTAGTTATAAAAATGCATAGTTTGATTTGATTAATAATAGAACTTAATTTTTTTCAATATACTTGTAAACGTCGTTTTCTTCCTATATGGTACACCAAGAACGAAGGTTTTAAAATTATCATACCTGCACGATTGACTGCAACCTATAATTGATAAATTTTTATATGGGAAATAAGTTTATTTTACCAAATCAGGGCATTTACAGAAGAAGTGCTGTCATTTTTTTACAAATCTGATTGCATGTATACCTATATATATATATAGTAGTACATATATATCATAACTACAGTATTAAATCAGAGAAATAGGACTTGGTAAAGTAGGTACGAAATTATATTTTGATAAGGAAATTAGACTCAAAACAATTCGTCAAAATCCATGTAAGGGACCCACAATTCTAGGTACCAACATTTGGTAGACATTTAATCTGCTTAAAGTAGAAGTAGAAAAACCTTTTAATTATTACATTTGGTGGAAGTCTGTTTAAATACAACGAATAAATTTTGTATCTGTTATAATACGAAAGCATCTGGGACAACTGCGATTGCATTGAAGAAGATCTGATTGACTATTTATAAATAAGACTCAGATATTGAAAGGGAGTAATGAATCCATATTATGGACTTAACTGTACAGATAATAATGATTCTAAGCCCAATATTGGACAACAAGTCCATAACGCAATAATGGACTTAATTTATTCTAAAGACCTGATGAACCAAATTAATTAATATTATGTATATATATAGAATATAAATACTAAGGTGGAATCGTAATCATATTTGTTTTATAGCAATTATTTAATTGTATTATGATTTTCATTGATTTTTTGTTTTGAATGTTATTGGTGATTGTTATAATGAATATATCAAGCTAAGACTAAAGAATTTTAAGTGTGTTATTTAATAATGAAAATTGTTTTGAGAAAGTACAAGCAAAAAAAAACTAAGTAAAATGATGAGCTTCTAAATGTTGAAAAAAGGAAGAAAAATTAAGCATAAAGCCCTTTCAAATAGTCCTTTTGAAACGACATTAACTTTTATTACTAAGCAGAATTTAAATATCAAAGTTTTATAAATAATATCATAAACTAATAAAGGCATTATAATATCTAAACTTAAATTCAGTTTTTACATTAAAATAAAACTAATTGAAAACATGTGTATGTGCGGGGCAAAAACTTTATAATTGAGTTTTCATGCAAAGTTGTTTTCCTTTTCCAAATTAAAAGTTTTCAATGAACCAATTTCAAATTAAAAAATTTTCTCAACTCACAAAATGATTTTTTATTAGGTTTTCACTTGACGCCTCTGTAAAAGAAGCAGAAGAAAACATGAACATGTAATGTATTTACAGACATATCCCAGACATTTACATATTGTGGGGCTTTAAGAGGTTTGGAATTTTAAATTGAAATAAAATACAAATTGCCAAAATGCGTCATTCGATAAATAACTTCATGTCAATATTGACAAAATATTTTGATTTTACGGTACATACCGTCATAAAAGTATCTGAGGATTTGTTTCCATCATCTTTTCTACTTGAGCGGCTTTGACTAATAAAGCACACGATAATGGGATTTAGGACTGAAATTGGCTGAAAATTGGTCAAAATATTCTTTTTTAATAAATACACTTATGTTAATAATGTTAAACTTAAATGAAATTATAGTTCTCATATATTTATATTTAATTAAAATGAAGCAATTATTTATTGCATTTCTGCAAGATAAAAAATACATTCAAATATGGCTAAAGTACTTCAAAAATGTCACATCATTGTTTGGGATGAATGCACAATGTCACATAAATATTCATTGGAAGCATTAAATCGGACACTTAAAGATTTAAATGCCACCGATAGACTTTTAAGAGGGGCTTTAATTTTATTGGCAGGTGATTTTAGACAAACATTGACAGTTATTCCACGTTCAATCTATGCTGATGAAATCAATGTGTGCCTAAAATCATCTTTTTTGTGGCGAAGTCTCCATATACTTTATTAAATTTCCAAAAAATTTTTGTAAAATTGTTAATTCGAAAGAGGAATTAATAGAAAGCGTATTTTCTAACATATATCAAAATTATCAGAATCATCAATGGCTTCAAAGTAGAGCAATTCTGGCTGCCAAGAACTTAGATAGCGATGAAATCAATTTCAAAACTCAAGCTATACTGCCTGGTAATTTAATTTCGTTTAAGTCCATCGACAAAGTGGTAGATGAAAACGAAATTGTGAATTATCCCACTGAGTTCTTAAATTTGCTTGATTTGCCAGGACTACCACGACACAATTTACTTTTAAAAATTGGTTCACCAATCATTTTATTACGCAATCTAAACCCACTAAAATTATATAATGGAACAAGATTAGTAATAAAAAGAATTATGATGAACTTAATTGAATCAACAATATTAAGTGGAAAATTCAGAGAGAAAATATATTGCTTCCACGCATATCAATTACACCAACCGATGTTCCAATTCAATTCAAACGATTGCAATTTCCAATTCGTTTAGCATTTGCGATGACAATTAAGAAATCTCAAAGTAAGTGGACTGAATTTGGAAAATCTATGTTTTTCGCATGGGCAACTATATGTTGCATGTTACGGTGTTGGAAAACCTTCTGATCTATATGCATACGCTTAAAATGGCCTAACAAAAAATATTGCTCATGATTTAGCTTTAAGGTAACATTATAGTAGCCCATAATTAAACTGTTTAACTGTTAAACTGTGAGCTTTTTGCAGTTAAAAAAAAAAATTCAAAATAATTTTCGCATTAAATGCTAAAAGTTAAGTTAACATATACGGACACTACTAACATTGCTCAGGCTTTATCTTTAAAATTATGCGGTTTAATTCTAGACACGGATTGCTTCTTACATGGTTAAACCTGACAATCTCTTTATCTACACAGATATTGAAATAACAACAAATATTACAACTCAGCTGAACAAGGACTATTGATTGCAAGGGGAGCCAACCTTCGCCGGGTCAGCTAGTATATATATAAATAGATATGAATTTTATTGAAAATACAAATTGTGTAGAAACAATTGTTTTTGTTTCATCTCAAAATATAATCTGCGAAAAGGGAACTAGTAAAAACCCATCCTCTGGTACCTCGTGTATATCTTTCATATAAATGCTTCCATAAAATTATCATTTCCGTTTCATCCAAAATAATTTTTAAGTTAATATATGCAAATGTTAATGTTCTCATGTACACAAAGCATATGTTTTAAGACAATTGTAATAATTTCCGGATTCCGTTGATTTGTTGGGAAATGCAGGACTTAATATGCTTTTATTTTGCTATCATATAGTTAGACTGACATTTTTATATTAGTTTCCTTAAGACAGAGCTACCTATTTCAATAAATTCTTTAAAATAACTATCTAGTAGATACCAAGTGAGTTCAAGATGAAATTCATAAACAAAGGCTGAAAACTATCCTATCATTAATTAATATACCTAATAATTTATTTAATAAAATTGGGAGATCAAACTGGTCTTTACTTTTAACAAATATAAACGCTAAACGGTATTAGAATTTTAATTTTATGAACACATTTATTAAAATGTTACAAAGTTATATTAAAAATGTGTGGCTGTGAATTTGTATTCACAATTGACCACCATTGTTACAACTTTTACTGTCCTTTTTGTCACCATCGGAAGACACACCATCAGATTCCTTTCTATCCTCCCGAACGGCCATGGGTGCTATGGGTGCTGTTGGCTCAGTAGTAGTAACATTGTTAGGGTTAGGTGCGTACCTATATCCACAAGCCTCACATATACCAGGTTCTTGCCTATTAACTCCAGCAAAAGTATTGTTAACCGCAAACTCATAACAGTCGAATATATCATGGTGAATAATCATTGCTAAAGTAATAATTGTTTAATTTGATATATATATATATTTAATTATTAACTTATCATACTGACCTTAAAAAATGTATATAACGCGTCCTCACCGTATGAAATTACGTACACAAATGAAGATGTCACGTTTACACCTTCGCAAATATTCGTCAAAGCCGAATCGTTGTTGCGAATGACAGAAAATGTAATAGATCCCAATGTCCCCAATGTTGCAATTTAATCAAGAAGGTGCACACTATGTTTCTTATTGTCACAGTTGTACCAAACTCATCACTTGAAATTATTGTTTCTGAAACTTTAAAAAATGTGGTTTAATTTTGTATCTAAATCGGAAGCATGCTAAGTTGGAAGATACAGAAGTTGGAAGTCAGTCAAATTAAGACATATAATAAATTTTATTATTTCGACACGTTCAAAACGTCACATTTGAATATAATAACCACACAATGTCTACTATGATTTTAATAATTAGGTATATAGTGGCAGTATATATCATTCGATATAATTTGATAAAATATAAAATAAAAGGTTTTATATTGTGTAAGATAATAATAACTCATTCCAATTTTAATCATAAGGCATTCCCAGACCAACTTTGATTAGAATAAAAGGTTTGCTTATGATTTTAGAGCTGCTTGGCTGTTGGAAAGAATGCATATTTTAATATTTTGGATGCCCCTGCGTAGGCACTCTCTTGCACTTAGCTCTAAGTCATGGACCTCTGCCTGAAAAATGGAAGCGGTTTTTCCCATTACGATTGATTTACAGAATTTCGATTCTATAATTCCTGCTCTGCACTGCCATCGTCCATTTTAATTGTGAGCTTTGTTTTAAGACATTTTCATTATTCCTCCAAATTGATTATTCACCCTGGAAAAAACTAATCTTCTGTTTATTTTACCAAGGACCTTAAGGCACGGAGAATTCCAGACTTCATCCAGAATCTTTGCGTATCCTGTTAGATTGCCGTATTTAAGATTACATAGTTAAGGAAGCCATAGTGCGATCGCTGTCTTTTTTAACCGTCAGGTGCAATGGAGTGAGTCCAGTAAGCATTGCTTGGGTTTCTGTAAGCACGTTCGCATTGCTCCACTTACGCTTAAACAGGCTGTTCGATGAATCTTGTTAAGGATCATCTTAG